ATAGATTATTTTCTTTGTACACCGATCTGTCTCTCGGGATGTGCCCATCCTGGATTGATGCTTTGCGAAATCAAGCCAACCGATTTACAGAAATAAGGGTTATTGATAATTTGGGGAAAAATTATCAAAGGTCAATTCCGCACGCACGTGCGCAACCAACAAGTCAACATGCTCGTGACCGAATAGTAGTTGAGTGTTGGACTCAAAAGGAGAGATGGGTGGTCACCAATCACGTTATGAGATACACTCGTTCCGTGGGACTTTGGCTGCCTGATAAAAACCAAGAAGCCAAAAGTGCTCGTTGATGAACGCCCACGTGACCTCTAACGGAATTTATCTGTGCCGCTCTGCCTCGGGCCTCGACAGAGGCCCTGACAACCATGGCAGCTGGCAGTGTGGGCAGATAGTATTGCTGGCAAAGGGAGAATGGAATAGCAATTTCAGGCTCATGAGCCGTTGTCAGCCGGTCATACCCAGAGCCAAGTGGCGTCCAATCCGAGCCTCGAACCCGCGACCTGTTTGATCAGATTCAAACGCCCTAACCATTAAACCACGAGCTCGTTGTCTAGCCAGTTTAGGTCAGGGGATATTGACATCATTTTGGTCTGGATATGACTGGCTGATGATGGCTAATAAGCCAGAAATGGCGATTCCAGTCTCCACGTTATTTTGTCGGTAATAATATGAGGTAGTATGCATCTCGAAACGTTAATATTAAAATGAAAAAATATAATTGATTACGACCGACCGGATAAATGGCCAGTAGCTTAGTGGTTAACGTTTTAGAGCCCTGGACTTCTAACTAACAAGGTCGCGAATTCAAACCTCGGGTAGAGTCCAATATATTAGGCACCACTTGGGGTTTGGTATGACTGGCTGACGACGGCCAATAAGCCAGAAATGACCAGCCTCGTCTCCCTTGTCTTTGTGGGTAGTTGTATGAAGCAGTATGCATTTCGACATGTTAATAATTAAATATTACTGACTGCAACTGAAAGAACAAAGAGTCAGTATGAATGAGAAGGTTGGCGATTCAGGTATTTGAATGGACGAGGAGGAAGACGAATCGAGCACCAGACCAATTGAAGATGCACTCCTGTAAGAGTTCGAAAGCTCAGAACAATAAATCAATTGATCTAGTGCTCGATTTGTCTTCTTCCTCAAAGGGCTAGTAGCTTAGCGCTTAGGGTGTTGGATTTCTAACAAAGAGTTCGCGAGTACGAATCTCGGGAGTTGCAAAACTTGGATTTTATTATGGCCAATTGATGGCGCCTGGCAGGCTGGACAGGGCCATTCCAGTCTCCCTTTTCTTTATCGGCAATGTTCATCAGCCCGTATATGCAGTAGATTTGTCGTCTTATGAAGCGTTAACCAAAATATTTTCGAAAAGACTACTGAAACATAGTTTAATAAAATAAATTAACATCCAGCATAGTTTCAATACATTTCAGAAACCAATTCTTTCAGTATAAACTAGCCGAAAGGCTTAATTTGCTAAAATACGAGTAATTCTGCGTAAATTCCCATTTTGCGATTGAAAAGTCATATTGGCAAACATGTTTTCGGCAATTCATCAGCGGGCCAGTACAATGCAAGGAC